GGAAAGAATATATTTGCAATTGAATTCAGGAATTAGAGGGAGATTAGCAAATAGGTGAATTTATCCAACAAATAAATACTAAGCACCTGCTGTGTTCCAGTCACTGTCCTGGATTCGGAGGATGAACAAAACAAAGCCCCTGGTTTCACTGGACTTTTATTTTAGAGGGAGAAAATTACCAAGTAAACAAATAAACAAATAAATTTGAGAGCAATAAGCTGTGAAGAAGGTAAAACAGGCTAAGCAGATAGAGGATGGCAGGTGAGAAGTATTTTAAATCATACTGAGGGAAGCAAAGGTGTGAGTGCTGTAGAGGAGGAAGTTGGGCTGGGGACAGCATCGCAGGCCGAGGGCACACTTTGGGTACAAGCTTCGCACAGGAACAAGCTTGCTGTATTTGAGGGGCAGCCTAAAGGTCAGCAGGAGGCTGGAGAAGCACAGTGGCCAGGTCACAAAGGGCGAAGTATAGCAGGAAACCTTTGGGGAGTTTAAAAAGATGTCTTTTTAAGGAGAATAGTATTGGGGTGAGGGGAGAGAAGGCCACATAGGAGGCTCTTGCAGATGTGGCTGGGGTGAGTGGTGACACAGAGGTGGTGAGAAGTAGTAGAGTCAGGAAAAGTGTGACGGTGAAGCCCCAGGACTGAGGGACTGTAGAACATCAGGAGAAGAAAGGAGTAAGGCTGACATCTGAGTGTGACTAGAGACCAGGGTCATGACCTCATGGGAGAGCCTGAGAGAGCAGGTGAGGGTGCAGGGCGGGAGGAACCAGAGTTCTGTGATGGGCAAGTGGAGTTGGGGATGCGGGTCGGGCATTCAGGTGGAGCTGAGATGCCGGGGGGGCCACGCTTGGGCCGGAGACACGGCTGAGGCATCAGGGTTCACAAGCGTGCGGGCCGGGGCGAGCCCCCAGGGGAGCGGGCCCAGACTCAGGCCCTGCGAGGACGACTCTGGAAGGGAGGAGCCGGTAAGATGGGAGGTGGGAGTGTCCCAGGAGCCCACGGTGGCAGTGGCCAGAGAGGGGGAGAGATCATCTGTCTGAGACCTCGAGAGGTGGTCCTGGACCAAGGTGATCCGTGTTGACCTTGAGAGGTGGTGCAGGGTGGGCCTGCTTGGAGTGGAGTAGAGAGGAGGGCAGGTTAGGATGTGCAGACAGTGAGTATAGAAAATTCGTGATCGTTTTTGTCATAAAGATCATGTTCCCTACCAACCCGTCACCATGGGAGGTTGACATTTAGGGGTCAGGCAGCCCCTACGTTCAGGTCTCCCTACCCCGCCCCCCACCCGGCTGTGGCGTTCTCACCCTTCACCTTAAAGCATTTTTTATTCGCTTTTACAAGGGAAACTTCTTCACGCTATCTTGACAAATCAGGTGTAACATCTGACTAGCTATAATTCGGTGATTTGCCAGTTTCCGTCTAATAATAGATTTAGGAAAAATTATCATTCAATCAACAACATTCATCCTAGGTTTACAGTTTGACCATCTAGATTGAAGATAATCTGAGCCCCCAGGTTGGGTGGGGGTAGTAGCTTTGATGTCAGAAATGGCGGGACTAGCATATCGACATCCCCCGAGACTGTAGGGAGCCGGCGTCTGGTCCTGGTGGCCAGTGTGTGCTGCCCAGAGCCCGTGGCCCCGGCCTCATTTGTTCAGTGGGGAGCACCTGTGCGGGGCCTGCTTGGGGCCATCTGGCACATGGCGGCCCTACACGGAGGGGTCTGTCGGGGTCATGAGCAGCTGAGGGAGCCACCTCTACATCTTCTGTTCCTTTCCCCCCAGGTAAGAACGACGGCTCCATCGGAGGGAAGCAGTACTTCAGGTGCAGCCCCGGCTACGGGCTGCTGGTGAGGCCAGGCCGGGTTCGAAGGGCGGCAGGTGCAGGCCGGCGACGCAGCGCGGGGCTCAGGCTTCAGGGGACCCCCGAGCCCCGCAGGAGCAGCGCCCTCTCTGGCTCCGCCACCAACCTGGCCTCCCTGACTGCGGCTCTGGCCAAGGCCGAGGGCACCACGGCTCTGGGGGCCGACAGGAGCCACAAGAACCCCGAGAACCGGAAATCCTGGGCCAGCTGAGCCAGCGCCCTCCGAGGCGGACACTGACCGCAGGAGCCGAGGGGCCGTGTCACCTCAAACGCCCTTCCTTGGAGGCGCAGGCAGTGAAGGCTTTTGCACGACGATGCAGGGCTGGTGACCTCCCTGTTTCTCCCGGAACTCTAGAAGCTTTGTTTCTTCCTCTACCCAGAGCACGAGGAGGCCTCTCTCTCTCCGCAGCACAGTGGAGTCGAAGGTTCTAGGAGCTTAGTGCCATCCTGGGTTGTGGAGAGCGAGGTCCCGAGCCTGGGGCTCTCTCCACCTGGGGCTGTTGTTGCTGTTTTTTCTGTTCTAGTGACCCCATTAATCTCTTAATTTAAAGAATAATCATAACTAGTGCCTTTCCTCCCCCCAGGAGCGGGGCATCTCCCTCTGCCCCCAGGGCTGGTGCCCCAGCCCACCCGCCCCAGGTGCTGGCTTGCTCCTCAGGCTCCATGTACGCTCTCGTCCCCGAATCCCCCACACCAAGTAACATGCTCCCGAAGGTGCCTCTGGCTGGCCGGCTGGGGCTTCTGGGACAAGGTCCGGTGTGCCCCAGAGAGGGCTGCTGGGCCCGCCCCTCCCACTCTTCCTTCTTCCTTTCCACGGGGTTTCTTAGAGGTTTTTCTGTGGGTGTTTTAGCATCTTTATATCTAGAAAGTTTTTCTCTCTGCCATTTACTCCCTACACAGAGTACTTGGAATATATTTATTTATATTTATTTTTTCGAAACCCGAAATAATTTGCGAGCCACAATCGTCCACCCAGGTGCAGGAACCCAGGGCCTGCCTTGCACATTGCCAGCCTCTGTGGCCCCTTGGGAGCTGCCAGCCTTCTGCCTCGGGCCGGGGTTCCCCGAGAGGCCAGAGGATGACCCTCCCTCCTTATGTTCCTTTAATGCAGATACACAAGTGGCCTTACTCTAATAAGATGACAGCAAAAACTTAGAGAATTATGTCGTGCTTCTGCAGTCAATGACAAAGTCATTCAGGGGCATCACAACCTTATTTGGTGCAATTTTGGTTTCTGGGAAGGTCCTTAGACCAGCTTAACTTCTTGGTAGTTCTATACCCTGACGCCTCAGCCTGGATCTGCAGAGGGAGTGCTCGTCCACCATCCCTGGGGCTGGGCCCTTGCAGAACCACAAACCAGGCCCAGCCTGGGCAGCCCGAAACATCCCCAAACATCGTCCACCTCCTGCCAGGACACCTCTGGTCCATTGGGAGGGCGTGTGTGGAAGCACAAAGAGGACAGGAGCCTTGCAGACCAGGGGGGAGCGGGGCCTGGGGGAGGCAAAGCGGGGCCTCCAGGCCCAGGGAACCCCTGAGCGAGAGCCGGTGCTCCTGGTCCTCCCTAAGGCAGGACCCCAGGGACCTGGTGCCGAACGTCAGCTGCCTCCCCTGCCTGTCATCGCGAGCGCCTCGTGTTGGGGTTTGCACTCAGCCATCTTGGCGCATGTTTTTGGTTCTCATGTTTAGACTCTAAAAACAACATCCAGACTCTGTTTTTGAAAAATCTGTGGTTCTCTAGGGATTTGAAGCCCCTCACGAGCCGTGGCAGGCTGTCGGGAGAGGGCAGAGCCCTGACGGGCACCCATGGGGCACAGCTACCGCACATGTAGACCCACAGGGAAGGGGCCCAGGGTTAATTAGCTCCTAGTGAATGCACGTGGTGATGGCCGGCCCAGCCGGCTGCTGCCGGCCAGGTGAAGCTGCCTCTCCCGCCCTTCCCGTGGTGCCTGCAGTTGGATAAACTGCAGAATGAAATGGAATTGCTCTCAGCTGGCTAGTGCTGGGCCGGGCCCCCATCTCAGCCTGGGGTCTGCTGGCCCTTGATAAGACATCAGCTGGTCGAGAGCTGCCACACTGTCACTTCCTCCCCCATTTTAACGGAAGGGAAGACAGGGCCAGAAGTTCAGAAGCTCCTTAAATAGCTTTATCTCAGTGCACATTCATAGTTTTAGAACTGGAAGGGATCTTCTCGCAGGGAATGGGCTAAAACCAAGGAAAGTTCAGTGATTTTTTTTTCCAGGTTACAGAAATTCCAGCTTCTGACTCCCAGCCTGGGCACTTTCCGTTGTCTCTGTGAAGCACCAGCTGGCGACTGCCAGTCCCTCCTTGATGCACCTGGCCGCAGCCCGGCTCCGCCCCCAGACGGGGAGTTCACGCCCACACCCAGGTTTTAGTGATCTAACCCCGGCTCCCTTAAGGAGAACCTGCTGCCCCCGCCCCCCGCGATGCCTGGCTGGCTTTCCCTGGCCCAGGTCCCCTGGTGGGGGCTCCGAGCGGTCAGCTCCCCCCGTGGCAACCGCCTCCAGCGTCCTGTCCCCGCCCGCATGGCACCCTTGGCCTGGGAGGTAGGTGTCCTGCTTTTCTAGTCTGGCGGCTGGGTTTGCCCTCGGAGAGGGTGGGCCAGGGACTCGTCTCCTTCCCCGGGGCGGCGGGGGCCTGCTGGGTGCCCCGGGTCTCTGGGGACTGCTTCGTCCTTCCTGTCTGCAGCTGCATTTGGGGGAGCACCTGCTGGGCTTGTGTCCCCGAATACAGCACTCAGTTTTGTGCTCCTGTTGTTACTTTGCCAGCACAGTCATGTTAAGAGTTTTCTCTGTGTCACCGTCACCCGCGTCCATTGCCGGGACCAGCGCCACCCCTTCCTCTGGGCAGAGCAGCTCTTGCTCCGAGCCCCAGGTGGCTGCCGGTGGCCGAAAGCCGGGCACCGGCTGGGTGGAGAGGGGGCGATGGGAGCGGAAGGCGGCTGGGTGTTTGTGATCCTCACTTCGCGAGTACTTGTTGGAGCCAGTGTGCCCTGGAACATGTTGGCAGCAACCTTCCAGAACCGTCTTGGGGACAAGCGGTGTTGTGCTCTCTGTCATTGTTTAATTAGGATGGGATGGACTGTGATGGAATTAGCGCCTGGAGCAGGTCTCGTTAGCTGGAGCTCTCAGGGACGGTGAGACGGTGAAGAGGCTGGGAGGTCCGCCCAGGCCAGCGCTGGTAGCTGAAGAGGTTTCGGGCCCACCTTTTCCTCCCAAACTCAGTTTCCTGTGCCTGAGCTTCTCGCACTAGTCCTGCGCCCCATCCCGCCCCGCTTGGACCTTTTCCACCATCTCCATTTCCTGGGAAGCGGTGTTTGGGGCCCGTGGCGTCCATCGGACTCGCCGGCAGCTGACCGCGGTTGGCCCGGTTGCTTGGCCGGTTGCTTGGTCGCCTTCAGCCGTGCGTGCGGGGCGGGGTCGGGGCCCGAGGCCGCGGGGCGGAGGAGCAGTTCCTCTAGGAGGAGCGGAGCTCTCCGCTTGCCTGGGGTTTTCTTCGAATGAGCGTGTTTGGGCTGCCCTGGGAGGAGACGTTTGTCACGTTGCTGCTCTCGGCGAGCTGTTCGTGCGCTGGGAGGTCAGCACGTGGCCACCCCGGCGCCCGACCTCCAGCATCGCCGTGGGCGCAGTGCGGCTCTCCTGCTCGGGGCGTGGCGGTTTGCGCCGGGCCCTTGGGGCGGGGGCAGGGTTTGCAGTCCCGGGCCCCCTGTCTTACTTGCTTCACAACCTGGACATCCCTTCAGGGCCGGTGTGTGGATGGCTTGCCTGGGGCGCACCCAGGACGCTGGGGCCATCACTCTGGCATGGGCCCTGTCTTCCTGGGTGGCTCAGGGAGCAATGCGCGTGCGCAGGGAGCCCGGCCTGCCCCGGTCTTCCGTTTTCACTCACTTCTTGGTGCAGACTGATGTTAACTTGAACCTGGAAAAGGGGGGCCGTGCAGTAGATGGGGTCACTGCAGCCGCAGCCCTGGCAGCCCGCAACCCAGCACGTACCGGGCTGAAGGTGCGGGCCTGAGAGTCGGGACCCGAGGGGCTCGACCCCCTTGAGCATCGTTCTCGCCTCACTAACAAACAGCCCTGATGTTAGAAAGAAAGTGTGAGCTTTAAGACTCGGGGTTCAGTTCCTAGCTGGCCCCATGCTCTGGGGTTTACTGTGGCAGCAGGAGGGAATGGGCCACTCAGAAGCTGGGGCCAGGCGAGGCTGTAGGTGCCACACAAACACCCTAGGCAGAGACTGGACGGGGACCCTCTTGGCCTCCGCCTCCCATTCTGTGTGCTCATGGTGACCACCGGCCCCATCCACGGGTGGGCAGCGGTGTGTCTAGGGAGAGAATGAGCTGTGAAGGGTCTGAAAGGCTTAGGTATTCAGATCTCCCGTTACTTCCTTACGTTTTCTTCTCCTGGCTTAAAGGTCCATGTATGTGAAACTGACAAGGAGTCCATGGTATTTATTTTCCTGGCTAAGATTAGCCCCCCTTACCCCAGGCCTGCTGCGGGCCTGCATCTCATGGTGCCCTCAGCTCCCAGGGCTGCCTCAGACAGGCAGTGCCTGAGACGGTGGCCACCTCTCTGTCGTGCCTTACCTTGGAGACTGGGAGTGGAGCCTGCATTTTATCCTCAAGACACTGACTTGGTTGTCCCCACACATCTCTCTCAGAAATCCATCGTGCCTTTTGCTGGGTTGCTGACACTAATTGTGTTGGGAGAGTCTTGGAACATCATCTCTGTGTGTGGAGTTCTGTAAATATGATGGGTTCACATATAAAGAAGTGACTCTGATTGGGGGGGGAGCATATTGATTAGCTACACGTGAAATGTGAGTTAAAAAAATCCAAAGACTCTAATGAATTGTAAAGACTTAATGATTTGTATTGTATAATGAACTAAACCTCTGTAATTTTGTACCATATATACCTTTCCATCGTATGACCAGCTGCTTCTAAATAAAATCAGATGATTTCTTGCCTATGTCGGAGCCTGGTGGTTTTCCCCTCCCCCCTGATGTGGGAGTGTTTGGGCTCATTCGAAACCATCCCACAGGGCAAGGAGTGGCCTTGTTCTGATTGAGCGAGGTGGGGCTTTTCAAGATGGAGCCCCGAAGAGGGAGGTCCAAGGAAGCAGCAGGCCGCCAGCACACCTCCCCAGCCCCTGCACCTTTGAGATTTGGGCTAAAGAACCAGGGAGGCCCCACTGGTTTTGTGGCCAGTCTTAGACCCCTAAGTTGAGGTGTCTCACAGGAGCCAAGAACCAATAGCAGCTTTCCGGCGGCCTTAGACCCAAGGTAATGGGAGCTTCTGGGCTAACTCAGGGACAGCTTGCCTGGAGTGGAGGGGTGGGGACAGGCCACTTCTCTGGAGTAGAGATGTCCCAGCTCTCAGGACATGGCTCTGCCACCTACCTTGATTTGCACAATTAGCCTCACGCAAGACCCTCCAGCTGGGGAGCAGGGAGCTTCTTTCCACTACTGCACAGGTGAGTCGACCCTTGCACGGGTGAGTCAACCCTTGAAGGTTCTGCAACAGGTTTTTAGGGGAAGGGAGGAGGATTTGGGCAGTGGCCACCGTCTGGGACATTAGCTGTTGGAGCCTGCTTATTGTTTAGGCCAACATCCTCAAGCCGTGGCACCCAGCTGTGTAGCCCAGCGAGGTCTGTGGGTTTGCAACAACACTAGGGACTGGGGCCCAGCCCCTCTGACCTGGAAGGGTGAGCAAGCTTCCTCTGAGATTGCCGGCAGGGCCTACTAGTGGTCACGGGCACAGCCCAGCACCAGCAAGACACACAGATGGTGACCCTGCGTAAAGCTGTTTCCTTCCCTGCGTCAGTGAATCACTCGGCCTTCGTCTGATATAAAATGTACTTGCAAATGTAGGGCTGCAGCCACTCGGAGGGGCTTTTTGGAGGTGGCCATCAGTCAGAGCACATCTCAGCAGGACTTGTTTATATTCATAAGTGCCCAAGAGTTGTTCTCAGAGATAAGCACTGCCAAATAATGACAGAAATTTGGCTGGCAGGAGCTGCCCTGCTCTGAGGCAGGAGTCTGAATGTAGAATTGATCTAGCTCCTAGGATAAATCTTATTTTCCGAGCTGCTACTTACTCTCTTGCAATTCAATGAGGTCTCATTTGTCTGCATGAGGCTGTGGGGTCTTTCTGGTCGCTCAGATCCCAAAATGGACTCTGGTCGATTTGTCACATTTATTTCCTTCATTCACTCACCCACTCAGTCACTCAGTGAACATCTGCACACCTGTCCTGTGCCCCAGAGGCTGCAGGGGTTGAGGAAGTCGCCTCTGGGCAAGTGTGTCTGGAGGACTTGGAGATGAAGGGGGAGGGGCGGTGTTGGGGGAACAGGTG